GCAATTACAAACTTTATAGCCAGAACTAAAATTCCTGCTGTCTGTGTAATTGGGATTCTGTTGTTGTTAGAGTTACTTCATATCCACTGATAATCCTTTCTTTCCTCTAGCAGTTGAGGAAAGGAAGGAAGGCAGGAAGGAGTGGCTCTCATTTCCTGCCCCGTGCTCACAGCAGTGCCGCCCTGTTGTGCTGCTGGGCTGGTTTAAGGCTGGCTTATCYGTCGGGGGCCGCTGACAGGCCGGGCTGTTGTTTCTGCTGCCCTTTGGTGGGCCTGGCCGCGCTGGRCAGGGCGGCAGTGGGGCCCTGGGCCGCTGCAGAGACTCTCCTTGCATTCCTGAGCACGGCGCTGCCCTCGCACGTGGAAGGTTGCTCTGATTGCTTGTCTTAGACTGCTAAAGACATTTCCTTTAGGTCAGGCTGATGGGGATTTTTTCCTCCCAGTAAACCGTGTGGCATGATTTGCTTGCTGGTATCATCCTGGTTTATCTCATGTAATCGTCTTCACATAGAAACGAGGCCTCAAATAGCACTGCTGCTTTTTAAACGCTGTTTCTCTTTGCTCTCACTGACATGTTTAGTTTTGAGGTCTGCTGTGGTTTATTTCAATGTCATTTCTCAGAGCTTCTTGTTGCGGCTTATTTTGTTCAAATTGTGAAATCTACACAAAATGATGTAGGTGCCTTCTGACCTTATTTTCTGCAAAACCATGATTTAGAAAGGATGAGGAGAGAAAATATTGTTGACATTGTTTTAAAACAGCCTGCTGTAATCAATATAGGCACAGAAGAGTAGAAATCCTAGTATGTGTAAGAGAGGTCAGGTATGCCCTTGATGGGTGATCCTAAGCAGAAGGGACATGGAAGAAGTCCTTTCGTGATGTTAACTCCGTTCYGTCAGGAAACCATCATAGGAAAAGCCATTGTCTCACAAAACCGCTACACATAATCTGTGCTGGCCAGAGCTATTATGAATTAATCATGACYGTGTGTCTCCTCCCGACACTCTTATATGGTAGGGAAAAGGTTGTTCGCCCTCAGTGAGCATTTTTTGCATGTTAAGCTCTRAGGATTTCTTGAGCATGTACTTTTTTGGCTGCTGCTTGAGCAGTCATTTTATTTTTTGTTTAAATTTCTAATAGTTACATAATTCATTATCTAGATAAATCAACTCTCCGTTTTTAACAAGCACAGATGCTTAGAAATATGAACATGCTTATTATAGCAAATATTTACTTATCAAAGTCGTTGTACATAAGTAACAATCTTGTCTCTTTCCTCTCAGTTTTAGCAGTTTCAATAAATTGAAGAACTTGCTCTAATAAACACTAATAAAAAGCATGTGGCCAATCTCAAAAAAACATATGAACTAATTTTCTGCCTAGACTGGGATTGCAATATGGAAGAATCAATGTACAAGTAATGATTTCACATCTCTTTTTTTGTGAGGTTTTAGATCCCGTGATCATTACATTGACCGTGTGGCTCGTGTCTGTGACTGTAGTTAGGAGGTTTTGTTAATAGTTACCGAGCTTATATCGTTACGTAACTTGATTGCTTTGATCCACTGCTAACTTGCCTGTTAGGTTCCTGTTTCAGAACACGCATCCTTTGGAGTTGAGCTTTCTTTGACAAGATGTCACTTAGCTGGTTTTATTTAGTTTGGCCTCTGTGGTTCGAGTGAGTGAGAGCTCTGCTGCTTGAGGAAGACACTRCTAGCACTGATGTGTTTTCTCTCAGAAGGAGTGAGCGTGGCACTCAGAGACAGAGAGAAAACAAGACCTGTTCTGTTATCCTGTGCACAAGATAACTAATTTCTGAGTGAGTAGCAATACTGCAGTAGGGAACAGTCCCTGTTGGATTTTTTTCTTTTCTATTTCTGTGGGGAAAAAGAAGTCTTATTTTCTGTCTGCATAAGAACAAGGTCTACTGTTAGACAGGCCTCTYTTTTGTTTTCGATTTATAGGAGATGCTACTTAGTTCTTCTACAGAAACAGAAATTGAACAATCACATGGAAAATCCATACTTAAATAAAAATGTTCTCTTTTCAATCAAACGTAAAGGAACTGTTTTGGAATTAGGTAGTAAATGGAATTAGGAAGTTAAAACATTTCCTAATTGTGAGTGGACGAATGTTCCTAAGCCTTCAGGGAAAGGTATTTTCCTGGAGCTCGCAGGAAACATTTTGTCAGATGAAGAGTTTGGAGTTTTGAGGAGTTACAAAGCCCTATTTCTGTTTTAACGCTGAAAAGGAGACTCTGATCACTCATAGACTGATATTGTGGAGTCTTTCATTTGCTTAGACAAAATTTTCTAGTTTGCTACTAATTCAGAGCCATTTTCTCCGTAACAGGACCCATTCAGACCTTTATGACCAGAATTAGTCTCCTACAGTGTATTCTTATTTATTTATTTATTTATTTATTTATTTATTCTGTAATACTGTAAACCTCTTAACCATTCTTGAGGATTAGTCTGCTGCTTCCCTGCAGGAGAGCAGCAATTCAGAAACTAACAGGTAGTAGATAATAGATCTATATAATAGATAGTTAATAGATAGTGTGAAGATGTTTCAACCAGATTGGATGGAGAGGTGAAGTGTGATCGTGCAGCTTCATTCCGAAAAACCATCCACKGCGCTGGAGGTGTCAGTGTGTACAAATATTTGAACTTTACATGTTCTCTGTGACCTCCTCATGATGTTGCTTTAATGCAACAGAATCTTGMTTTTTGTCTTCAGCCATCTGTAACGTCCAATAAGAGTATATTAGCCTTCATAAACACTTTATGATAAACAGTTAATTGTCAAAGCCAGAAGATCTAGTGATGTAAAGCTCTTACTGTTAGCAAGATATCAAGTGATCTGATTAGGATGATGCTGAATGTGTTAGATTCACTAAAGGAAAAAGCAGGAAAGGGAGTGAGATTTTTCAGTTAGAATGCTCTATTCCATCAAACAAATGTGCCAGTCTGAGCAAGACATCATCCAACATAAATATACTTAGCTGCTCAAAAATCAGGAGCTTAGCAAAAACAGTTGGATCCTTAAAGCTACATGTATATCTTGGTATATGCATATGTATACACATAGATATACATAAATGTTTATATATTTTTATACATATATATATATAAAGAGAGAGAGAGAGAGATATAAATTTACCATCTGATTAAAAAGAGAGAGAGATAAATTTATCTTTGATTTGGGGCTTTTAGAGTGTTAATTTTTAAACATTTAGAATTATGAGTCACTCTATAAAAAGAGAACATAAGGAAGGAGAAATGGCACATGYATTTTTAAAGAGCACTTCTGCCTTCATTTCTGCTTAGATGTCAGCTGAAGTTGCAAGGAATAGCAAATCTAGTAGCTGGAGTGTTGAAAACAAATATTAAATATTGCAGGAATTGTGATGAACYGCCTTTGGCAGCAGCGCTTTGTATTTAGATTGCAGGGTAGCAAGTACCTAAAAACCTATATTCTCACTAAACCTTGTCTCGCAAACAGAGGGGAAGTAGAAGACTGAGTAAATGTTTGCAGAGAATTTAGGTAGTGCCCTGCTCTGCGGTGGGTGCCTGAGAGCTGCTTTGGGGTTTCGCGTTGGACTCGCTCCTTGGTACCATTTGCGCGCGACGCTGCTCGGGAGGCTGCTCTGGCAGAAGGTGCTGCCGTTAGCGGAGATGCCGGTGGCTTTGGCACGAGGCTGCTGGGGAAAAGGCTTCGCAGCTAAGTCGCTTCCAAGCGTGAGTGGTGGTGCTGGCGTTACCCTCGTGCTGCCAAAGCCTGGCTTGGCTGCTCCGCTGTTCAAGCTTTCACGTTACTGGAGTGCAGTAAGCAGAAACGCACGGTTGTGGGACAGGTACTCGGTGCTGTCACCTTGCTTTCTATTGTGGAAGTAACCTGTTTCTTCATGAGCTGTAATCAACCTCTGAGAGAAAGCGCTTGAATGTCTATCAGAACAAAGGATTTTTTTTCCTTAAMGACTTTATTCAAACTTAGTTTCTGTAATTAAGCTCTAGTGCTTCAATCCAGGAAAAGAAAAGAGAAAAATCCTTGTAGTAGGCAGACTTCTCCAGGCGTTTAAAAAATAAATATTTTTTGAACACCTTTTTACTCCTCTGCAGTTCAGTACTGTTGTACTGAGAAAGGAAGTAACTTGCTGTGACTTGCTTCAACTTTTGGCCTTAACATCATGTTATTTAGATATACGGCAGTGCAGATGTTTTGAAATGGTTGTTATAAAGATGTTCCACTTAAATCCCACTTTGACAGCTTTATCTGGAAAAAAAAAATGTGTACCAGGAAAACAGTAAATCTCTCAAAGGCTCTTTGAAATATTAGTTGCTATTTTAAAACAAAAGCAGCTCTCCTGAAGAGTGATTTGTGTGATCACTTATGTAGCTTGCATAGCCACTACTGGTAGTGCAAAGATTTCAGGGAGAAAAATTAAAGCATTATTCAGTCTTTATTCTGGGGTTGAAGTCAGAGATGTGCTTTTTACAGTATGTGAAAGAAAATGTTCATGGGAAGGGACCAAAAGTTTTGTGATGCTTCCTACCAGTTGCCGACACTTAGACATCAGAAATTCTTTATTTTTATTTTTTTTTAACCTTCACCTTTATGAAGGGAATTATTTGAAGTGTTTTATGTACCCTTTTTCTTAGAATTAAGATTAACGCTAATTGGGGAGTCATGGGGTAAAGTCATATACTGCGGACTCAGTTTTACAGGAATATGATTCTTGTTTCCTTTTATTAAAAAAAAAAAACGGAAAAAGAAAAATGAATAGCACTTTTTTTTTTTTCCCATGATAAGCAAATTGTTACTCAATAATTTAAGGGGCAACCCAGCAGTAGAGCTGAAAGATATAATTTGGATTCTGATTACAGTTTTGCCTRTGAAGACTAAGCAAGTTCAGATAAAGACTTAGGATTGAATTATTCTTTAGATTAAAAAATAAAGCTTGCATGTGTTCTTATTAATGTTTGAACAATTTTATTCCAGCTGTGTTGGGGTAGAGGAGCACCATGCTGTTGACATTGATCTATACCATTGTCCCAACTGTGCAATCCTTCACGGACCTTCTTTAAGTAAGTATGAGATATTCAAATTTTATTTTACACTTCCTTTATTTTACACGTCAAATCTGTTTCAGCTCCGTATGTAACCAAACAAGAAGAACACTGTTCAGAAGAATGTTTTAGAGATGCTTGATTATTAAGCAGGTAATGGTTCTATGTGACTGTCTAGATGTAGATATGCTGATGGAATCAAGTGCAAACCACAGTTGTAGACTAGAGAGACTGAAGTACACGAGATTGAAGAAAACAATCTAAACTTGACTTAGAGAATAAAAATATGGGAATCATAAAAAAAAAAANAAAAAAAAAAAAAAAAGGCAAACCAAAATAGAGAGTAAAAAATAAAAAACAGTGCTGGCATTGATGCTTTATCTTCCCGTATGTATCACATGCAAGTAAAATAATAATAATAATAATAATAATAATGTATAAAGATGGTTCCTAAAGACTGCATATTTTAATCATGAATATCATAAAACCTTGGAAGGACTGAAGAACTTTCTCAAAGTGTAAGAGTTGAGCCATCTTACGCCTACAACTCATGAAGAAAGGTATGTCAAGAAAGTCCAACAAAAGTTGAGAGAGAGCTTTTTTTTTTTTTTTTTTTTCCTCCTTTTTTCCCGTTCAAGTCCTTGTCACTTAGACAACTCTGAATTCCAGGTATCTGATCTGTAAACATAGTTCCATCAAGTTTCTTAGGGAGTCTTTCCAGTTGCCGGAAGACTCTATCAAATGCAGAGGCAAGGGGGACCGCTGCTTTAGTTCTGCTTTCACTAGGTACACTTGTGGTAGAGATCCGAAATGGAAAGATGGTAACGTTGCAGTTCTTGGGGGGAAAAAATAACCTTTTTGTGTCTTTTCATAACTACTGAAAGGACACCACTTTATCCAACTTCTAGATTTTTCCCATGACTTCTGTTCTCGAAAGGAGGCAAGGTAAAAATTCATTTCGCCTATCTAGCAATGAATTAAATTTCTAAGGCCAATTTTGAAAAATGTCTTCCCCCACTCTGTCTTATGCTCCAGGCACTGTCTAATGGATGGTCATCTCTTTCTTTTTTTCTGACTTTTTTTTCTCCTGTATTTTCTTTTCTTAAAGACAACATAATAATTAGTCATCAGTCATTAAGATTTAGCATGTTTTCAAAACTGATGTTACCCCATCATTTAAAAATGAGTTTAAAACAATTGCATCTTCACTGGTTAGTCTTGTGGATTATGAATAAAGTAATAATGTATCCCTTATTGATATGATCTTGTATAATATGGATATTGTATAAAATGCAGGTTATACTTAACACCTTTAAAATTTGCAGCTTTCAGGTTAGGAGCTAAAAGGTAGGGTAAATGCTGTTTTGTATGCTTGCAGTTTTTAGGATTCTGATTGTCTTTCATTTAAAAATCTGCATGTGAGTCCTGTAAATTAGAATACAAGTATCAGCTCCTTCTTATTCCACTTCTCTGTTTTTCCTGTAGAACAGAAGGGGAGGGCAGGGAGTAGAAGGGGAACCCACAGAACTTTCAGAATACTATAAAAAGACCTAGTAATTTTAAATCTTATATTCTCTGCTTGATTTGGCAAAACCTGTATGCTTCACCACCTTCATGATGCCTTTCTTGTGTGAAGAGGCTTCTAGCTCTGGCAACTTGACAGTGAGATAAGTGTGATTTTTGTATTGGAAGTCTTTTTAAAGATAAGAATTGGTGGTAAAAATTATCCATATTGCTTCATATTGCCTCAAGTGAATAGATCATTTAGATTTAAGTAGAAGCTTCAGGTGTACCAGTGCTCAGCTCAAGTCGAGGTCGTGTGTTGAAGTGTCTTCATTTGTGATTTTATTAGCTTTTCTTAGCTGTGCCATCAGAATCAGGTCTACAATAGTTTGCAGTTAGGGCATYTACTTATTTAACTGGAGGGAGAGCCTGATAACGTGTTAGGATTTCAGATGTAGCAGCACTGCTCCAGAGCACTTCAGTGATGAGAAGTTATGTTTATAAATACAAAGAGTGCTTTTTATTTACCACATCTTGTATCTTTTCTTCTAAAAGAATTTTGACTGCAACTAAATTCGTTTATTTTCCTTTTAAGACGGCAAGTGTATCTGTGATTTCTACAGACATTTGTATGTATAATCCCATGTAATCAAAAAAGATAGTACAAAGTAATTTCCTGAAGTTATAAAAGAAAGATAAAGTTCATATTGCCAAATAGTTGCTTTTGGCATCCTACAAGTTAACRAAGGAAGAGTTCCAGTGTTTGAGAGAGAACTACTACATAGTTAGATGTAAAGATCAAATTAAACAATAACGATGTTATCCAGTGTAGRTTTTTGTATTTCAACACAGATTTAATGGTACTGTTGTGATGGAACCTTTGCAGTTGTGTAAGATAACAAATAAATAATCCTCAGAAACATAAAAAAGCGAGTTTTCCAAAAAAAGTACATTTTGAAGTTTTCCATTTGCTATGGAGTCTTCATATTATATTTTGTTATTTTCAAAGTTACCTGGTGATTCTTAGGTGTAAAAATGTGCTCTATTCACATGAAAACTGAGTGTTCCATTCACATGAGCTGAGTCATCTGCATCTTGTCACCAGAATCCAAAGCTTTAGGAAGGCACAAAGTATGGTAAATGTTACTAGGACTGTGACTGTCAAAGCAGTATTTCCTTTGTCTGTTTTTACCTTCTCAAATTTTGTTACTGACCCCTCACTACCACCTTTGTTTGTTTTGATTGTGCAAATAACGTGACTGGTTGATATGAGCAGCAGACTTCAGACCTGGTATTCTGTCATTTATTTCATGTTCACTGTATTTTTTTTGTCTTCCCATACTACCAATCCTCATATATTTTTGGTTACTGAGTATCATTTGAATGACCTCTTATTAGACTCAGGGCAGTATTGTACAGAAAAATAGGTCTAGAACCCTATTTAAGGTTTAGCATCTGAGCTCTGCTGACCCTCTGAAGGGGAAGAAGGCAGGGAATAGCTCCTGTAATTCCGTAGTGTACTTCTGGTGTGTAATGTTGTCACAGTGAGTTCTGCCTCAGATTTCAGAAATAGTGAGGGTTAAGTTTTCTTCCACTAAATTTGCGTGTGTGTGTGTGTCTTTATACTAAATTTTGCAATAAAGCAAAATAAAGCAAAAAGAAATTTTACTTTAAATTTGAGCACAAAAGGTGCTTTTTGTTGCATTCTTTCCTACATATATTATTGTAACGTCTTAAGGCTATGTAAAAGCTATGGAAAATAATTTAGAGAGATATATAAGAGGAAAATAGCTTTCATTACTGTTATATAATGTTTTCTTGTTTATGGATATATGATAGCGTGTATGTAGAGAAAAAGAGCTATTTTAACCTCTGGTCTTTAAAGGTAGTAAAGGCAGAATTTTAAAAGTTGGCTTTATGCTGTAAGATCTCCTAAACAGCTGTATCATCTTACAGTTTTAATGAGCYGTTATAACAGCAGTGATTTATGAAAAAGTACCTTGCTGCAAATTAGTATTAGCCGCTAATTTCTTTTATTATTATTTACGATTGATAAAAAAAGCTTTTAAAACTTAATAGAACTTGGCTTCATTACTCATGAAGCTTTACTGTTATTTGGATAGCCGTCTCATTAAACTAGCTCTTCAGCACTGATTTTCATGTTAGTAAGTAGCTGTAAATGTCAGTTTATTTTCCTAACTGTCYTTTTGAAAGGATACCATTTGCCACTTATAGAGACAGTAGCTTACCACTAGGAATATTAACTGTTATGTGTAATAACTATAAAATAACATTTATATATAAGCAACTGCTGTTTCTGGGGAAGCAGCAGTGAAGCTTCTCTGTGTGTGTTTGTTTATTTTTTAATCCTTATCTTCAAGACTTCAGTAATTGTGTTTTCAGTATAGTTAGCAATACTTTAAGTTTGGGCACTTAGTGATGGTTGAGGATCATAAGGTTCAAAGTTCAAGTTTTCTTAATACACTTATTTCCTCAGCAAATGTAATTTTTGCTTAACRGTAGTTGTTGAATTATAGAGCTGGCTGCAGTAAGTCTTCTTGGGGCAGACTTTAAAAAAATGCATAGGTTGTCRTAGAGTGACCATATAGACTATTTTTTCTGTTTGGCCCTATAAGCATAGGGAGATGTTACAAATTGAGCTTAGCTATTGCTGTGCTGTCAGTAGCAGCTACCCCTAATTGTAGTGTTTTATTTTACATTATTTTATCCTTTGTTCTTTGTTAATATTCTGTGAACGTGCCTAGAAGTGTCAGACAACTCCCAGATTTGTTATTTTGAGACACCATATTTGCATGTATGTATTCTATTTGTATAATAAAGATTTCCCCAAATAGTTRCACCCAGGTTTATTTTGGAGTCATAAGCAGTGAATAAAAGCAGTGTCCTTTCAATAAAGAGTAAGGTGGTGGCTAGCACTAGTAGTGGTACCATCACACTGGATAGGGTTGGATTCAYGAGGTGGAGAGCACAGTGAGCTTAAGCCCCATTAATTCTGCATTAACACCCCAAGTGGAGCATGTGGATCTCGAAGAGGTAGGATTTTTCTGTTTATAATAAAGCTGTAGGAAACTAAAATTCTATTTCTAGCTTCGTTGTTGATTTGCTCTGTAGTTTTGGACACCTTTCAGGCTGCCACTGTTTATTTCCTTGTATTATGCCGCATTGAATATAGAGTCTTAAATCGTTGTGTGCAGTGTGCGTTGAGGTTCTCAGCTGGAAGGAGCTCTAGAAATGCAAGGGATTCCTGCGAGGCCTGCTGAAGGCTTCCCTTGCTGCAGATAGGTAGCGGGTGCCTGTGCGAACAGTAAGGTCTGTTATCTTGGTAGCGTGATTGAGGGCACGTCAGCTGGCTGCTGCCCTGAGCCACCCCCTTTCACTAATGCTGAGCCTTCTGCAATACCTAGTGAAGAAGAGGAGGAACTGGCACAGACACGACTACACGGAGCTGGATGATGGTTCCAAACCGGTCCAGGCTGGAACGCGAACCTTTGTGAAACAGCTGCGGGCCCGCTCTTTCCCAAGGTACAGAAGCTCCCTTAGATGTTTCGGGGAAAAAAAAAACAGAGAAACTCTGTGGAATTAGTGTGTCTAAGAAGGGCTGACTTCCACACTTCTCCGCTTCAGAAAATAAGTCTAAGATGTCCTTCTCTTCCTTTACTTTTTTTTTCCCATTCTCCCCTATCCCTGGGCACTCCCTCTTTCATAAGGATACGTTTGCTGCCTTCGTACTGTAACTTCCCTGATCAGATTTGCACTGAGATCTGTTGTCCATCAGGAGTGCTACGGGGTTGGTGGTTGGGTTTACGTGATTAGAAAAGAGGGGGTTCCCTTGGATTGCAGTTACTACTAAAGTAGTGTTGACAAGGAAAGGAGAAATTGGGAAATAAACCCCGGGTTTCACAGAATCACAGAATCTTCAAGGTTGGAAGGGACCTCTAGAGATCATCTAGTCCAACCTTCCTTCTCWAGCAGGCACACCTAGAGCATGTGGCACAGGGTGCCATCCAGATAACACAGAATACTGACACAAATTGGTAGTCTATCCATTTTCATGCACTTCACAGGAAAGTGGATGGACTTGACTACAACAGAAATATTTTTATCCCAGCTTGTCTGTGTTTGGTTTTCTTATTGAAACATAATGACTTATAATCCTTTAAAGGATTTTCATTGCTGCTGTTCTCAAAATGCATGCTGACGTTCTCTCCGAGAATTCCCTTCCCCATCTCAAGCCTTCCATTTTGTGCAACGTCTGAGAGTTCCCAGGTTTTATATGTCAATGTGTTTTCCTAATCATTTAATATACGTTGTTATTGCCTTCTAGTTGAAGGCCCAGTCTAATAAGAGTCCACTTCTTTAGGATTCAGATGCATCCATCTTCCCATTTATCCCCTCAAAAACAAGCAAAAAAACCCCGAAAAGATAATATTTTTCTTCAGTAGTGCTTGGCCGAGGTTATTTTTCTAATACTTTGCTGTTTCTTTCCACTAGTGCTGATGAAGTCATTTTGAAAATGCATGGCAGCCAGCTGACWCAAAGATATTTGGAGAAACATGGTTTTGATGTTCCAATTATGGTTGCTAAATTAGATGGGCTGGGGCTCAGGCTTCCTCCGCCAACTTTCTCCGTTTTAGATGTGGAACGCTATGTAGGTAAGGGTCACTCTAGAATATGTGCAAGCGTTTCTGTCTATAAAGTAAAATAAATATTTGCACGATTACAAGGGCTTCCAGTGTGCTAAATATGTATTCTGAATCGAATGCTTTTAACCGAAAGACTGACAAAGAGCAAAATTGGACTAATTTTGTTTGTGTAGGTGTGTGGCAGGAGTACACCCTTACTTTATAGTTTTCCTGCATGTTAATTATGGCACCAGCTAAATGAGGATGGGTTTGTTCTGCTGCATATTGTAGACCAATAAAATATAATGTTTTTCAAGATTGTTCACTTTGTGTGAATTATATGAATCRCTCAGGATCAATGAAGGTTATTCACTGGTCAGGATATTTTAAAATGCTTGGGGCTCTATAAACTGGCACTGCTTAATGAAATCCTTCTTCTGGAATGTTTTGCACCATGACCTCCTTTTGCAGGAGAAATAGAGCTTTGCTAGGATCATTTCCTGCTTAGCAGATCTGCTGGTAGTCKGTAATCATTTCAACCTCATGTGAGGATGCAATACCGAGAGACTGAGCCAATTGCTCCATGAAATTTCCAGCTTCATGTAGTGCAGTTGAGAAGTCCATTTGGATCTAACCTAACCAAGACATATGTCCACCAGCACTTTCCTGTGGCAACAGAGTGGTGTAGTGCACACCATGTGGTTGCCAATATGATGATGATAAGCAAGCAAATTCCCTGCAGAATTTAAGTCTGCATCAAAGTGTAATCGTCATTTTGGTATATCTGAAGCTTGCTTTTCTTGGGAAAACCTGTTCAGATTCAGAGGGGAATTTAATCTTCTACTTCCCCTGCATGTATTTTGATCTGCCAGGTTCCTAAGTCCAGGGAAAAATTGAGATTTCCCAGATGTACCTTTCTGTTACTGAAACTAAAAGCAAGGAAACTGAGCAAATGTTATTTCAACTAGAATTTATTCAGGGTGATACTAACTTGCAGTTTTAAAGGGAATATGCATATAATGTGCGCCTAGATACATGCCAGCATTCCAAACACAATTGCTGGAGTACCTGAATAGTTTTCAATATTAAAACCTACCAATTATAGCCCAAGTTCAGTGCAGGTTACTAAGAATTACAACCTGTGAGTTGTAGGATTTGTTGTTTGTAAAGAATTCTCAATAGTCCYTGTGTTTAATAGCAAGACAGAGGAGCAGATCTGCCTCTATCTTTCCCTGCACTAATCTCTCCTATGTCAGCCACGAGCCCCCCTTTTTATTAAAAAACAAACAATCGCTGCCATTTTTTTGTTACTCCCTTTTTGATTATCCACTGAGAAGAAAAAAAAAGGACATACTTAGACTTTTTTTTCTAATTCTATGTTTAGCTGACTGTAGGGGTTAAAGTTAGACCTAATAAGAAAATGATTTGTACTTCCTGCTCTGTTCTAAGAGGTTGTTGATTGTAATGGAGTTTTTGTTGAAAAAATGGATTGGTAAAAGCTGAGAGGAAAAGAAAAAGCTAAATTTCTCTTAAAAATAGCTGTTTATCTGTGATAATATTTGGCAAGTCATCCTGTCTATTTTTACAGGTGGCGACAAAGTGATTGATGTAATAGATGTAGCAAGACAAGCAGACAGTAAAATGAAGCTCCATAATTATATTAAATATTTCACAAATCCTGACCGACCAAAAGTATTGAACGTGATCAGCCTGGAATTCTCGGACACAAAGTGAGTGAATTTAATTTTTGAAAAATACGAAATTGCTTTTGCTAAGGAGAACAGTATGTTGTAGGAATACTCGGTCTTCATTTTATTTATTTAATCTATTTATTTATTTATTTTTAGGATGTCTGAATTGGTGGAAGTACCAGATATTGCCAGGAAGCTCTCCTGGGTGGAAAACTATTGGCCAGATGATTCTGTCTTCCCTAAGCCTTTTGTTCAGAAGTATTGTTTGATGGGTGTCCAGGACAGCTATACGGATTTTCATATTGATTTTGGAGGAACATCAGTTTGGTACCATGTGCTCTGGGTACGAAGACTTCTTTTGCGCTCTCTCTCTCTCTCTCTCTCTCTCGCTCTCGCTCCCTCTTGCTCTGTTTTTTTCAGTATGAGGAATAGAATTTATTCAATGTGCATCTTTCTGCTATGAGAATAGCAGAAATTTATTTTCATTCAAAACCTATTTTGAATGAAAATTTTCATTTGAGTTCAAAATGAATTACTGATGCAATTGCTATACTTTCGTGCACTTATTTTGATATGTTGTTGGTGACTTCTACACTGTAATTGGTGGACTGATCATTTAAGTATGAAAAAAATAATGCAGTAAAATTCATTGACATGTTTAACTTTTTATCTTTCCTACAAATTTTGTAAACAGGATGAAAAGTTGAAGTAGTTTTGTTTTACATCTCCTCATTTGACATTGTGTGCATTTATTAACAAATTGTTTTTTGAATCTAGAATTTTTCATCCTTCATTGAAAAGTGTTTCATTTTTAGTTTTCGTTTTTTAATCACAAGTCTCCTTAGTTTGCGTAAGTCTGTAGCTGAGGATGATTGATCACTGTAAATGTAAGGAGTAAATTATTCCTTAAGGTTACTTAGTTTCCCACTGCTGGTTAGACTGTAACATTGACTAAGTTTTTGATGGATGGCAATTGTAAAATACAGTTATGTTAATGGCTAGTAAACCCCAAAGTTCCATAGCAGAAATAGAGAACGATGTCATTTAGAGCAATATATTACTTTTGTTACAAATGACTCCAGAGCTGTGCTATGCCTCCAATAGGACATTAATTTATTTGTTTGATATTTTTGATTAATAGGGAGAGAAGATATTCTATTTGATCAAACCTACTGATGAAAATTTGGCTCTGTATGAGTCTTGGAGTTCATCTGTGACCCAGAGTGAAGTGTATTTTGGGGACAAGGTTGACAAATGTTACAAATGTGTTGTGAAGCAAGGACACACTTTATTTGTCCCAACAGGTAAGATTAGCCATTATTCATGGGATTAGGTGTTCATATTTAATCCCTGGGAATTAAAGGTGTCCTAAAATGTCTCATTGCATTCAAGATCTTAGGATAAGCTAAAAAATGATAATGAGAGAGAATAGTTTAAATATTGAAACCTCAAAAACAAATAATTAGCTCTTCAAAATTGCTGACAGTAATTACATTTCTTGGAGAACGCAGCGGAGTTTGTTATGCAGGTATAAGACAACAAATAAAACTTAAGATGATTATCAAGGAAAAACATTTCCAGTTTGCACAGACTCTTTATGTATAGGTAAATATTTATACTGAACTCTTAATTTTATAATACAGYTTCTTTTATTTCTACAGTTTGAGAATTGAGTGAGACCTATTAGGCAAAATTGTTGCAGCTTCTAGCCTAATATGTAGCACACATATACAAAAGTATTACATATTTTTCTTATTTTTTAGACTTGAAGATACAGATTAGAAAAATGTTTAACATTTTTATTTTCTGGCTTYATACAGAACTTGTCCATACCACAATTCTGTCAGCCAGAAATGTAGTCTGTATTRGAGCTTGTGGACACTCTGAATTTTAGAATTGCGTGAATTTGCAAGCTTAGCAAAATGAAAGCGTCCCCAAATTAGTCTGAAGAATTTTCATCAAATTCTTGTATGTTATTTTCTTTTTATTAATAATAAAATGAWTTTTATAGATACAGAATTTCTGAAAATATATGGAGTTCATAAATTYAGTATATCACCTTCCTTATAAAAGAAAAAATAATGCAGAGGGAAAGAGTCTCTTCTCATTTCTTAAAGAAAGAAAAACATCCCAGCCTTCATCTGGTAGCATCTGATAAATGATGGCACCTTGGGATTATCGGTTGACCAGGCTAATGAGATAATTGATTTTAAAGGATAATTGTAATAACAGGTTTTAAGAAAAGAGAAACATCAAGACCGTGTAAAAATCTTTCCTATATCCCTCTTAAAGAAACCGCAAGAAGCCACAGATGTCCAAGGTATAAAATAATACTTAGCAATAGTGAGAATATCAGTTATTTCCTGTATTTTCATTTATCTAGCCCATCCATATAAGTACTTTAAGGCTTGTCCTAGGTACTAGCTTCCTTTTTCTGGGAAAAGAAACTTCAATTACATGTAGAATGTTCCTAAGTGAAATGCTCAATGACTGTATTTTAGGCTGACCTGTGAAGATGATGTTCAGTTCCTTATTCTGTCATGGACTTCCTAGTCAGGTCACTGTATTTCCCTAGGAGCTCAGGTCTCTACCCGTGAGGTTTACTTATTTACTAGTTCACTACTTGTCCAAAATAATTACTTSTTGTGGTCAAGTACTGCAGGGTCAAGAGCTGTGTGTGTGCTTAACTTTTTAGAACCTCCAGAGCTCTTTAAATCATGTATATCTGATGAGGGATGACAGTCATTTCAAGGTCCTAATTATGAAAAAGGCAGGGTTCTGCTCACGGAATGAGGAAATTCGTTGTAAATCCACAGATATTTTGAAATAGTTATTGCTTCCTAAATAATCATCTGAATCTGAGAGCTCCTTGTAATGCTGTAGCCAAAAAGATGAGTATTATTATTTATATGTATGAGCTGGAGWACAGTATAAGAACCAGTAAAATACTGGAACTCTTCAAGATAGGTGTTTAAGAAACTGAAAGTTTTGCAAGATTGGTTAGAGGATTTTTTTAAGTAGTGTGTTCTCTAATGGAAAATACTTGTGCCATTCCTGCTGACCCTGTTGCTAGAGGTTCGCATAATTAGTATATGGTCACTGAAGTGTGTTCAGAGTATACTTGTAGTTAAAAATCAATCATRCATGTAGATGAATAATAGTTATTGTTAGGCTCCTGAGAATAATGTAAGTATAATTCAAGATATTAGTCAATTAATGATCAATTGTCCTGTTGAAAATGCTCTATGTAGTCTACAGAAATTCTCTTTGTTGCACAAACTATTTTTTCTAAGATCTACCATAAAAATAGCCACTAGGAATGTGAAAAAATGGCATCCTTTTGATAGCTCTGCCAGAGAAAAAATTGATGTTGAAGAAAACCCAACAAGGTTTTTTATTGGTTTAGCCAGTAAATGGGGAGATGCATATATGAATCATGGCTGAATTGCACCTTCTCCTTGAAAAGACAGAGGTATTCGTCTGCCTTGACGATGAGAAGAGTAGAAAAATGAAACCATATTAACAAATGCAAAATACATCCTCTCTGCATCCTCAGACAATCTACACATTTCAAAGAACAGTAATAAACCCAAACAATTTATAATGGTAATTTCAAAACAAAATAAAACCAACCAACCAAATAAAAAAACCCAAAACCTTTAATTCCATGTGCCAATGTGTTTTTCATAGACCATTTTGTGATACGTGTCCTCCACAGGCTACGTGCTACGTGTGTCACATAGTCAGTGTAATTGCTGGGTTTCAGGACCTTCTGTCTGTGGTATCACACCAACCAGAACTGGTTCATCCGAAGTGAATTTAGGATGTGGTTTTATCAGTAATTGAAAGTCTGTAGTTGCTTGTGGATTTCCCTGAGCTTGCATCAAGTGAAGGCGTGTTGGTATTTCTCTATACTGCCTGCGCTTAATCAAGCTGTGACGTAATCAGCAAATGTGTTAAAAGGTCATCAGTACGCATGTAAAATCAGAAGAAAATCTTGGAAGAGGAACTGTGCACGTGTGTTTATATCAATAAACTACAGTTTGTGTTAAATCTACACAGTTTGAATTTTAAATCAAACTGCTTTGAATTAGGGAGCTTATATTGTATGTTCTTTTGTGTACCTGTTTGAAATTCTGCAGTAGTCATCAGGCAGATTGATTGCCTAATGCTGGCCATGCAGTTTCTGTGCTGAACTGTGGAATTTGAGGACAGTGTTTCAATTCTGGGACAAATCAGTGTGGTCAGAGTGTATAGACTGGGTTTTAAATTGGTCATCACTGCACTGGAAATAGAATGGCTGTATTTAGCATACTTGGTGGAATTACTCTGAATTCATTTTTGATAAACTTAAATAGTGCTAAATGACTCTCTCATACAGTTCAGTGATTGTAAGCAGTRCCTAATTTTTGAAAGGAATTTATTTTTTCACTCATTTTTACTATGGTATCTTTTGTTGCTTCTGTTCTTCCTTTTATAACTTATTTTTCTTGATACAAGTGAAAACTTTTTTTTTAACTTGAAATATCTGAGTTTTTTCTTTGTTTTTTTTYCTCCAAGTCAAAAATGCCTCAAAAGATCTTTGTTTATTTTAACTGCTTTAGAAATCTACAGTTGCACTAGATTTCAGAGGGTTTTCGCAAAATGAAGATTATAAAACTGAAATCGGTGATTCCTGGCATAGAATACAAATTGGTATTTGCTGCTTTTTTAAAAATTTCCCATTACAAAAGCCTATCGTGTGCATATATAGTAAGCTTCAATATTTGTCATTTCAGGTTGGATTCATGCTGTGCTCACATCTCAGGATTGTATGGCTTTTGGAGGAAACTTTTTGCACAACCTCAACATTGGCATGCAGCTCAGGTTAATATCAGTTTTCGTCATATCTTCTCCTCCAGAAGTAGGATATTCTTACAGTAGATAGTTTTCCTCATGCTCTTAATTGGGATCAAATGGGTACAGGCTCTGGAAACAGGCAGTGGGGCATTTTTAGTTAAACTCTCAAGCCCATACTATTGTTTCACTTCTGCAAAGTGTGTAGCAMAAGCAATACGAAAAGTGTGCACAAATTTAAATTAAAAAATATATTTGGAGATTAGTGTACATTTTTATAAATTAATCTAAACCAATATTGAGCAAGCCCAGGTGTGCAAAACTGAGTTGAAAAGAGCATCCTTGAGTCAGCATTGCTCTAAGGGCAGCTGTATTAGTTTTTGTCCATGATATGGAGCTGTCTTCTAAACATATTGTTTTTATTTATTACAGTGGAATCCTGATAAAATTCCATCTGTTAAAAGATCACACATTGGGTTTGTGTCCTAGTTTTATGAAGTCCAACTTTATTCTTAGAAGTGCAGCAGTCAAACTTGATAAGGTCAGAGCCTGGATGAGACCAGAGTTTAATCTTGTCCAAATGTGGTCTTGTTGGGATTTAACTATGTGGTACTTGAATTGTTTTGTTCATCATGGCCATGCTTCTTTTACTTTATTTTGAACATTGTATCAGTTTAATAATTATGTAGTTGGACAATTAATTAGATTATTGTAAATATTTATGTAATACATTGTTTCTATTTGTTCAGGTGTTATGAAATGGAGAAGAGGCTGAAAACCCCAGATCTTTTCAAATTTCCTTTCTTTGAAGCCATCTGTTGGTTTGTGGCCAAAAATTTACTGGAAACTTTGAAAGGTAATTTTTTTTTTTTTTGAAAAGTCACATTATTTCTTAACCTGATCTGTAGATTGTAGTTTGTGCTGCACAGTTGCAGTTCTAGATCCAGCAGTTCTTGGTCTTTAGTAAATGATCTTCCTGAAAATTACTTTGGGGATTAAAAAGTTTGTGGTAGAGCCTGAACTGTGCCTAAATCATAATGCATATATGATGCATGTAGCTAACGTTTTGTAACACACTAGTGTGTTACAAGGAAACTTTGAACATTTTTAGTGTGTTACAAGGAAACTTTGAACATTTTTAGTGTGTTACAAGGAAACTTTGAACATTGTTGATGTGTGTGTGGGGGTGGGGGTTTAAACCTATGCTGGCTATGTATTAGATAAGTGCTTTTCAGGAGGCATCTCTATAGCTTCTTTTCCTTGAGTTTCCAGTCATTTGCAAACTTCTTCACTTCTTGTAATTCCTATATCTTCTACCTGTACATAATTGAGCCCGTGAAGTTGCTTTTTTTCTGACTTCRCCCTCTTTTCCTCAAATATCTTGCCCTCTGCTTGCTCTGATTACTCTCATTAATAAAAATCACATTACAAGTTATGTATTTGAAAAGAGAGAAGTTACCCTTCAGAGGAGGTTGGTGACTTCTGTCTGTGCTTTGAAAGAGCAGCTCCTCTCAGGTAACCTTTACTGCTGCTAATTAACGTTCGTGGTGAGCAGTTCTGCTTTCGGCAAGTTGAGGCATTGAACAACACGGTTCCCTAAAAGAGCATTTAAAGTTTCTGGTTTCTGTGTGTACAGTGAAATTTAGGTTTTGAATTCATATAATTAAGTACACGGTGCCATTTTTTTTTCCTGCTTTTATCACATAAGTTGTGTACTTGAGTATGTGTAGACCAGAGGACCATGAAACATCTATGTGCTTCTTAAGGAAGGCATATGAAGCATTTTTTATGTTATTTTTGATTTGTGGCTTAGTAGACATTTAGCTGCACAATGCAGTTTGTGATCTGCAAACTCTGTCATGATTATGTTAGGCTTTGAGCTTTGGCAGCATCAAGACTCTTGTGGATCACGTATTTTCCAGTCTGAATCTTGTGTTTTATAAATAAGGAGTTAGTATCAGTTTATTTGTGAGAGTTGATGGTGACAACCCACATGTAATGCATTGAACATGTGGTTGCTAGTGTTACGTTTTTCTTTTTTTTTTCCTGATTTATTTGATTTTTTTTTTTTTTTGTTTTAATAAAATAATACCATAGGGTCATAACACTTTGATTTTTCATTGGCAAGAAGTGTTTGTGGCAGTATTATGAAAGTTATGGCCTTCATCTAAGCAGTATCTTATCCATAATTTTGGGTACTTTGGAACAGCTGTTTGCTCATCTCTTTATGCAGGATACATCATTTGTGCTACACTCTTATGTGATGCAGTCTTTTCCAACAAACCCAGTCTGTGATGCTACATTCTGTTCTCAAAACTTTACCACCTGAGTCAGGGAGTGGGCAGAAGGGTCTCTGCTGCTGCTCAAAGGCTTGTTGTCCTTCCTGCACCTTTGGAGGTATATGGAACATTTTGAGCAGCTGCTTAGTTACAGAAAATTTTTYTTTCTTCTGCAAGTGGATTAATATACTCTCCATAAAAATAGAGAATTGTCAGTAGATTCTTTCAAGGGAATAGAAAGAGCCAAATAGTTTCAGGACTGATCTATTGCTTATCAACAAATGGGGTGTTTGTAAGGAGGCTTGGAAGAGCCTGAAATTTACTTYTGACGCTTTCTGGAGGATTTATTTCTTCCCTTTTTCATAAAAAGAGAAAGGGAATTGGAAAGGAACTGCAGCTACTTGAGAGCAGCAGATTCCCCAAGGAAAAGAGGAGCATCTTCAGCAATGAGATTTTTCTTGTTGTTTTTGTTTTATTTGTTTTTTCCTCACTTTTGTTTTGGAAGGGAAAACTATGTAAACTGTGTGAAGGAGGGCAGTGATATTTGTAAGGGTGACATAAAATGTTTGGGGAGTGGAAGTGTGCTAGTGTGAAGCAGTTACTGTGGGCATGGCAATAGGCAGTATGAATTCTAATGCAGAGGCACAGCTTATCCTGCATCACTCTGGTTCTCTAACTAAAATATTTCTAAATGAAACAACGGTGATTGTTTCTTCAAAGACATTTTTTTTTCTTGTTGTAATTTGTAAATTTATTTATTTTTATCTGTTTTATTCTAATTGTAGTGTATCACTCATTTGCACAATTAAGAGCTGTATTGCCTCGAAGGTAGATACCAGTCTGTCTTTTTCACCATTACGTTATGTTTCTAAATTGGTAACTGTATCCTTTTTTAGAACTAAAGGAAGATGGTTTCCAGCCTCCAAGTTACTTAGTRCAAGGAGTGAAGGCTTTACTTACTGCTTTAAAATTATGGATGAAAAAAGAAGTAAGTATAAGTGATTTTCTTTGTTAATTTGATGAACTCTGTTTTGTTTTAGAAGCTGGTTTATGATTATTTTCATCCGTTAGGGAATACTGGAATACTCAGTGGAGGTTATGTGTTCTTGATATTGAGAAGATTCATCATGATAATTTTACGTTGCGTGATGGTAATGAAGTCTTTCTAGAGCAACTGATAAGCTGTGGTATTTTAGCCGATAGAAATAGTCTTGCTTTACCTCAGCATGTGATGAGAATGCTAGCAGGCAAGTTGGGTTTTCTCGCCTAACAAATCAGCTCTGTTTATACAGCCAATTCATCCTTGTCTGAAGCAATGCAGACATGTAATACCCTGATAGTTAGGGTCTTCCATTAATGTTAGTGCTTTAAGCAGCGCAGTTCAGTGTATCAGTGCAGAGTCAATTTAGATCCATAGAAGGCTATTAACTTGAGTTGGATGCTGGCCTTGCTGAGCATTGGCTGACTCTTACAGAATCATTAGTGTGTTGTCTACTCTGGCTCTTCTGATGCTGTGCTCTCCAGGAAAGCGGATTTGTTTTGGCACTGCGCTGAGCCTGGCCTGCTTCCATGTGTTTTTTTCATGTGCTGGAGCCTGAGCTAATAAGCCCTGTTGGAACCTGCGCTTGGGTAGGGCTGCTCAGAGACAGAGTCAGGATGGGTCTGACTGAGCTTGTTAATTGTAGCTGCTTGTGGGCCCTGCTGWCCTGAGCTGGCTTTCGGAGAGCTGTTGGGTGCTTGTGCTCACGCGCTCTCCCTGTAAGCCACGTTACACCACGACTCTGTCCAACAYGCACAGAGCTGCTGTTTCCAAGCAAACGTTTGCTCACCCTCTGGAAAAACTCTTGTGTTGAAGGTGTCCATGCTGGGCCAAAGCTTGCTGGGCTAAAGCACACGTCTCAATCCAATATCTTGGTCTGTAGGATGAGTAGTCATCAGCCGAAGTAATCTGCTGATAATTGGCATCAACAATGACCTTTATAATTCCTTACTTTTAACTGAAGTTGGACTGGAGTTCCCCTTTTCTAAATAGATTGCTCTGGAATRGTGTTGAGGAATCTGTGCCATGTCTAGTAATTCATAAGGTAGTTTTGTCTAGAATGTGATATATTTCCTACTTGCGGAAAAGAAATTGTAGGTTCTGCTTTCTGRATGCTTGCTACTGAGGCTTATGAGTGTTCCCAAACCATTGACTGCATATTGACACGACTGTGRGAAACTTGCACTGTGTCTTTGGGCTATTCAGAGTGGTCCCTGCTGTCTGCCAGCTGCTGTGTTTTGTAGCTTGTATTCATCTTTTCGAGGTACTGCTGCATAAGTGCATTGGTATTTGCTTTGCAGTGGGCCGTGGTAGGGTTGTTGGCTGTGTACAATRAAAGCTGTGTACAATAAGTCAGAAATGTTCAGATTCTGAAAATGACGCATATGCCACAAATGAGAAGCCTACTTGTGAAGCTGCACATTGCTCTCATGCAGTACATWCTTTCAAGACAAATGTGAATGATTTTAGTAAATTCCTTTAACTGCTTGCTGGAGAATTTGTATCTTGTCTTCAGCACTGTCTTCATTTCTGCAGTGTTTAAAAGCCACCAAGAGTTGCAAGAGGCTGAGAATAGAAATAATCAGTGCTAYGACAGTTACTTTAGTGTTCCTGACTTGAATTCAGTTTATGCAAGGGTTTTATTGGTCTGGGTACCTTCTGTTTGCTTTGGTGYGGATCACTTGTTTGCAGGTTAGGTGATAGACAACATCAAGGTGATGTGTGTGGTCTGCTGAGCTCTTGGTTTCATCTCTTGTCTCCTTCCACACTGCATAAACAACAGGTCTCAGAGTCTGCCCTATCTCTTTGTGAAAAGAGCACATTTTTACCCTTGTAGGCTTGGATTGCATGGGCTTGGAGGCAGTGTTTGCCAGTGCTTGCACTGTGTCTGTGAGCTGTTCAGTACTTGTGTCAGAGCTTGTTCTAGCCTCGTGTCACCTTGCTTTGTCGGGCAGGGTCTGTGTGCCCTCCCTTGAAGCTTTACCAGGTGTTGATTTGCCCGTGTGTGTGAAAGGTGACACGGTTACTTGAAGGGATTCATGTGTTGTAGGASTCTCTATTATCCACATTTAGGAAACAATTTCTTGACGTTCTTGAGTGAATCATAGGGGTTTTTTGTTCCCATTATTCACTTTATCTGCAATTTTATGCCTGACATACTTCAAAGGTTTTACTCTTGTATTGTTCCCAGTACAAGAGAACTCCTGAGTCCCAGAGGCTGCCTGCTGTTCCCCCAAGAGGGAGGATGCTGGAACAACTCAAACAAATGACTTTATAATGATTATTATATTTTTTTCATGAATCCTAGATCATCCCTAGATGTTCATATTTTCTTTCTCATCCTTTTTCTTTATCAGACTGCCTGCTTATACATTTGAATTTGCTGGTGTGTCAAAATTGCTTGGCTGATTTTTTTTTTTTTTTTTTTTTAATAATTACCACAAATTAGTCAGAAAACTTAGATATAAATAGATATCTTTTATTCTGGCAAACAAGTGAGTAAGCTAGTGTTATTTTGGTCAAAGAGATATTGTAAATGGTACTGGCAAAATAATTTATTTCTTCTGCTATATATTATACTTGCATTAGCAAGGCCTGCCAGAAGTTTTAAACCTGAGAAACTTTGCAGTCTTGATTTTGGTGGATCACGTCAGATCCCCTTGTGTAGGGTTCCAAGGAAAGCTTTGGGGAAAACTGAAGGAATAGAACAGTTTGAGGAGTCCTCAAACTGGGAAAATAAATACACAGTTTAGTGCTGCAGATGTCACGTTGCCAAGTGTGAATGTGTAGAATTGGTGCATTCAGTGAGTAAATTGCCTGCTATTATTTACCATTGTTTAATCTTTCCTCAATTAATTAATTACATTAATGACATTGATGACACTCATGATTTAATGGCATTGAAATGACTGTACTATGGTTCTATGCCTGGGTTTTTTGAGAGAGCTTTGGGTTCAGTGCCTGAAAGGAAATGAGATTCAGTGAAATGCACTTTACATTATCCTGTCACCTTTAGCAATGATTCTGTGGCTGAGCTGGTTTTTGACATAGGGGTAGTTGAAACTTCTACATAGCATTTGTGAGATAATTGACTTTCTGAGAGGAAAATTAAGGCAGTACCAGAGTTATTGTCAGGGTCATTCTGGTCTATACGTGAGTGTTATTTTGTCTGTACAGTTTCAATTAAATATCTTTGGCTGAAATTCAAGCTATATATGTGAAATACTAAGGTATTTGTTTTAATTTTTTTGCTAGAACTAACTTCAGAGCCCCTGAAACGGATTTGGTAATAAACGTACAAAAATCATTCTGTGCTCTGACACTGTTTCACAGGATTAATGTGAACATCCACCGTTATGGCTACGTAGGCTTTTCATAGTGAATGATTCTGAATCACTTTCTCCAGCCCTCTACAAGATCTTAAATATGCTGGGAAGGTCATTTAGAAAGTGAAACAYGAGGCAGCTGGCTAGAAATTCATCTATTGGTTACTCATTATTGTTCTTGATTTGGCCTGTAGATTAGATTTTTGCCTTAGTGAAATTTCCTTTAGTGAAATTGCGTTCCCTGAAATTCCCTTCAGCTGTTTTGGAGGTCATTACTATAATGAAGTTCCAAAGTGTGGCTCTGCATGGTAGACGGAAAATGAGAAGCCCAAACTATTTCCTGAGAAATAAAGTCATTTAGTTGTCAGTGTGGCTTTATATTGTCACTTCTTTAGGCTCGTAGTGTCTAAGAGGAGCTGTGGGATGGCTCACCTCGCAGTACCCTTACATACGCAGAGCATCACGCACTGCGGGTCACCTGCTGCCTTCTGCAGCTTGGACCGCAGGCTTTGGAGTGTGCAATATCTGTTCTGGCAGCCTGTTATGCTTATTAAAAGCTCAGTATTTTTTTCCCCTTGTTCATTTAGTTTTTTGTTATATTTTTTTCCCCCATGGTTTCATTTGTTTCATACTACCTTTGCTTTGATCGGAAAAATGAATCAAGTGTCTTTTCTTCACCCTTTGCATACAGCTTGTAACAGAACATGCCTTTGAAATTCCAGACAACATTAGACCTGGGCATCTCATAAAAGAGCTTTCAAAAGTCATTCGTTCTGTAGAGGTAAGAACAGAGTTAACTCTCCTTTAAATTTGCAAGAGAATTATCTTTGAATCAGGGAGTTACATGATTATTAGGCTTTCAAATTACTGTGTTTACCTTTTCATTTAATGCTAATTTTCTAATAGAAAGTCATAGAGGAAAATTGTTGGGAGTATCATGCTACCAGGTTTCATATCCTGCACTGAAAAAAAACAGTTGCAGTGCGTTTTTCTTTTTCTTCTTTTTTTTTTTCTCTTCTGCACTTCCCTCCTCCTTTTTTCCCCACTTGACTCTTTTTTCTTTTTTAAGTGTTTCTTTAAAAAAAGATCCTTAATGGTGAAGTGATTCAGTATTTTAAAATTGGAAGGTTGGTATTTTAAAATTTTTCTCACTTAAGGCTACTTAAAATAATTGTTGTGAATATGTTACTGTTAAAAGACACTCTCCGAGTTATATTCTTCTACTCTCTCCTCTGTGAGCTCCGATCCAATATCTCTAATACTCTTACATTTTGCTGCTATTTGTTGTGTTGTCAATGGATTTGTTCTTGTTGTTATTCCTATAATACTTTGCTCATTTATTCTTTAAYGAATGCTAATTATTAAAAAATTGCCACATTAATATGTGAAGAGAGTAGTGCTGCAAAACAAAGAGAGTATTCATATTTTGGGTATTGTATATGTAAACCGTTCCCTGCCTTCAGTAATTAAAGCTTAAATGTTAGTGATAATTTTTCGTATTAAGCACTACTATTATGGGAGAATTTAAAAGCCTCAAGCAGGAGAGAGGAGCTGTAGAAGTAGAGCCTTGAACCGAGTAAAGCCATAGGAATTACATAGTGCTTCTCTAAAAGACCTAGAATCTTATATAATTTCCATTCATTTAGATGAATAGAAAGTAAGACTTAAAATATATTAATTTGTCTGTATGAGACTACTTTGAAATACGTGTTTTTAATTAAAGGAGGAAAACAGCAAACCAGTTAAAACTCAGGGAATTCTTGGTGTATGTCCATCCTCACGGTCGACACATGACGGTACCTCCCCTCACCACCCTCGGCGACGGGTGAGGAAGCTGCGTGACCACGCAACCAAAACTCCTTCCAACCTGGACATCCTGGAACTCCACACAAGGGAGGTCCTGAAAAGACTGGAGATGTCGCCGTGGGAGGAGGTAAGTGTTACATTTCATGAAAAATCAAAACAAAAAAAAGAGAAGAGAATAATTTTCTAATCTTTATTAAGGAGTGACTGTTAAGATGCATAAAAATATAGGCTGAAACTGTTTTACTGAAGTATAGGCAGGTTTGTCTTTGATTTATCTCTTTTTGAGGTTGCCTGATAGGAATTTCTTCCTTTCTTGGTAAGTTTTTGGGGAGATTGACTTAGCCTTTTGATTCTGAAATTCCCCTGAATCCATCACCTACTGCAAGTATAATTCCTCAGTTAGGACTGCCTTAGCTATCAAGTGCTATTTTGAGTTCTCTGCAGAAGAGGGACCCTGAAATGACCTGATTTGCCGAGTGTCTGGGCCAGACTACTTTCTGTTTGCTTCTAGACAGCTGTTTCTCATAGCTAAGTTACTGTGACTTGATTAACAGCCCTTTCCCTTGATGCTTCTTGCTCCTATCTGTGATTCCCTACCGGTAAGCCTAAGGCTACCTTCGTCTCTGGTCTGGGGCTGTGGACCTTTTGTTCATGCTACAATAGTATGATAGAGTAAATGAGTGAAATGTACTCTACCAAAATGTTCTTTTTCTTCAATTCATGGCCATACTAAAAACAAACAAACAAACATAAAAAAAAAAAAAAAAANCACAAAAAAGCATACACAACAGAAAGAGTGAGAGAATGGAAATGATTAATGACTTTCTAAGAGCAAAAATGCCAAGTATATTAATTGGTATGGACTGTCTTAAAATCATATGTAATTATGGGTAGTTAAGAAATAATGATTTGGATCCTCCTGTTGAGATATAAGCAAGAAAAATTCAATTAGTCCCAAAGACAAGAAGCTGAACTTAAATTTTACCACAAATAATTAACCTGAAAATCACTGCTACACATTGTTTTTAAAATAAAACAATTGTCATTTAACATAGAAACACACTATGTTCAGTATAGATTTTTATTACACATATTTTTAAATACATTCCTGGTTTATCTCATAAAATTTGTCACAAATTGTTTCAGAATTTAAGTCAGATACAGATTGCCTTGAGCTAAGAAAGTTCTCCTTGTGACAGGTTAGTTTTACCAGCACTTTGCTGTTCTGAGTCAGTTCGAGAGTACTAATTCCAGAGACTAGAGAGCCAGCTTTAAAGTTGCTTTATTTATCATCCTGGTGATGATTTTGATTTGCCTCACTCTGTTGGTAGCTTGTTCTTTTGAGTACAGTGATCATTTTCCAAATACTGTCCAGAAGAAATATTGTAGAGATACTGTAGTTGAGTTATAAATGTTTAAAGATGTGATAAATGATTAAAAGAAGGATAAGATGAAGTCTGCTCTTTTTTACATCCAAACATGTTTGGCCAGGTTTTGGCTTCAGGTAGTTATCAGAAAGATAACTATCCTGGTAGTGGGTTCAAATTTTTGTGGCCTACAGAAAGCAAATATTGAATTCATACATGCAAGTAGTAAGTGACACTGCTTTTCCTTCTTCAGGATATAACAAACTCGAAACTGAACGGGAGATTTAACAAGCCCTTTCAGCCGTCTTCTACGGTACCTGAATGGCGAACGAAAGACAACGATCTTCGCCTCCTGCTGTCAAATGGAAGAATAATTAGGTACAAAGGGTGGATTGTGGATCATTTGTTCCTAGTCGTTATGAACTGGCACATTCTAGCTTTGCAGTAATGCTCCTTGTCTTTCAGGGAGCTCTGRGTTCCCTTTCATGAGTAAGATTCATTTGGGAAACATAGGAGTGGGTCTTGTCTGTTGTATCTACTGTCCCCTAGTGGAGCTACAGCTGGGAGAGAAGAGGAGGAGGTTGCCTGTTCCTTTCTTACATTCCATTCAGTTGCTTAATTGGGGRTTTTCTGAAGGGAATGCTTCAAACTAAAAACGTTTGCTTTTGAATCCATCTGTTTATTCAAATGATTTTCATTAAAAAATCTGCTGCCAACATAATGTCCTTGTAGGAATGATGGCTAAACTGGAAGTAAAATGGAGTAGGTGCAATTGTGAATGATGAGATAAGCATGAGGAGAGTTACTGTGTTGTCCCTAGTGTTACAAATGACAGAGGAAACGAACACAATTGCTTCAGACTTGAAAAAACTCAACGTGATAACATGGTTAATTTTTCTTGTGCGATAGAGATGAGAGACGACCATTTACAGATCGAAGTCTTTACACAGCAGATAGTGAAGATGAAGATGACAGAACAAGGTCAAAAAAGACGACSGTTAAGATAGAAGAGCAGACCTCAGGATTTGAAGGAGAAGGGAATGCAGATGCCCCCAAACCACTGAACAGTAAGCTTGCTTTTAAACCCTGTCAATTGAGCATTTTGWTAATGTAGAAGAGGATCTAACTAGCATGAAGGCTGCCTGAAATTTGGCYGGTGTGTAGAGAATAAACCAATAGATCAAAGAAGTAATACAAGTTACTSTGATGCACTTGTCAGTTTGTTTACTGAAGATGCTAATGACTAGTTAAAGTAGGAAAATAGAACTCATATTTTTACATAAATTCCACCTTGAATACTGCACTTAATAGTTCCACATTGTAATTCCATGCCCAGAATAATCACATACAGGCCAATAAGCATAACTTGGCRTAAATAAAACTGTTTCCACATGTTTTCAACCTTTGTAATAATCTGGGGAAGAAGTTACATTGTCCCATAATCAACCCCTCATTCCARTACTTTACATCTAAATCTTATATGACTAGTAGTTGATATTTCCAGGTGTTTTTGTAGCCTCAAGTCTTTCAAGCCTTGAGTCCAAACRTGAGCTCATTACAGGTTGTATTGGTAACATATCACTACTGGATGCCAATTTCCAGTGTCTGCTTCTAAGAGTGTGACGTGTGTGCACTGACAAATTGATTCCTCAGATAGCTAATTCAGCCCCGTGTTTAATTATAAAAGTCACATCGTTTCACAGTGGAGCTCAGAAGGGCCCAGAGGATACATATTAAGAAACTGAGGTCAACGTTTATAAGATAATGAGAGTCCTCCTGAGACTTAGTCCCTTTGGTTTCCTGCACATCTGTAACAATGTTTATGAGCCCGTTGTCAGTCTGGAAAAAATATATAATTATTTTCCTTAACAAAGCAATTTGCAGTCCCTGTTGACTGTGCTACCAAAGGTCACAGCGGATGCTATTAAAAATAACCTGCACAGGAAAGGGATTCCTCTCATGTAGTCTTGAACCTCTAGGTTAACTGGCTTGTTGAGTGCAAGCTAAGCACCCAGTAGGCATGGGAAGGCATGTGGTGCCTGTCTGCTTCAAAATTTAAACCAAATTATACACTTGAAGCAAAGATTCAGTCAAACAGAGAAGCAGAAGATTATTTTCAAAATTGTTGTGCTTATTTGATACTGAATGAATTTGGCAGTGATGAATGCAAATATACTTAAAACTAGAAGTGAATCTTGAAATTGTTCTCAGGGAAACTGAGCACTGAAGATTTCACTAAGATTTGTAATTGAACAGGGAACGTCTTCAAACTTCCTTATTAAAGGTCACTTAGACTTAATTCTTTGGCTTTGTCTTAACTAAAGGTTTAAACAGAGGGAGAAATTTTCTTCTGCAGAGAATTCCGTGAAGGACAACCTCTTTCTGGAGCAGATGCAACTTCCATTGTGCTTGCTAGGATTTGGGCCGGGAGGCATTGTCTGTGGAGCAGTGCCCTGCACACACGAGCTCCAGCTCGGCACAGCTTTGCCTATCATGCCGAGTGACCTCGTGCTGTCAGAGAGACAAAGATCAAGCATTCGCCTCGCATTTTAATGCAGCAAGACCCTGTGAATGACTGGAGGGAAAGTGATTTAAGATATTTTTGGAATGCATTGTAGCTTAATCTGGTCTTATAAACAGATTTGTTTTTGTCTGCCTTCAGCTAGTGAGCCAGTTTGGAAGCAAGCTGGTGAACAGCAGACAGCTTGGTTAGTTTTGAGAAAATATGACTTATGAACCAAATTACTGCGCTTTCTTTATGCAAGTTGTTAAAAATAAATATGTGTGTTTTGTTCCCTACTTACAAAATAAACACCAACTATTACATGTAAAAACTTATTTTTCTTTTATTTTTTTTTTCTCCTCAGTGTTCTTTGAAAGTGTGAAATCAGAACTCAGGAATGGATCCTCAGAATACTCTGATATTTCTGATTCAGAAGAATCTGAGCCTGATTGCACTACACAGGTAGGGCTAGAAAAAGTCACAAAAGCTAGTCAAGTGCAAATTATAATTTTACTGACTTATTTCAAATTTATACGATCAAAACCTTTGTTAAAAGAACAATAGCAAAATGTTAGRTCTTTTTACAAGTTCCTCTCAAGTTATCAGAAATTCACACTTCATTTATTTTAGTGTTGAGAAAATTGGCAAGATGTGCCGTGTTTATTAAGCCATATTGAGGTGTTTGACTCTGCTTGAGTCACTTTTGAGTGTGCCTTCATTTGAGAATCTAGACCATAGTGCTTTCTTTACAAGTGTACAAAATATGAATGTATGTGCTCATGTGCACACACAAAAGCATGCATAATTTACACACATATCTTAATAAAAGTTTTAGTAGCTAAAAATGTCTCTCTATATATGCAAATTTTAGTTTCTCCTTGCTGTATTATGCTCTGACCTACTAGTTTCCATATTACTTGGATAGCAGTGAGATGCAAATAGAGTGTTTACCTTAAAAATCMTGTTGTGTGCTTATGGAAGGCTAAYGCCTTGGTATTGCTTTTGATTTCAGCCTATTATAAGATTAATAATATTTACAAAAAGGCTTTAAATTCTCACTTTTGCCTTGGAAGTCAAGATATATACTTAATATCATTCTGTATTTAGATGCTGGCATAAGTCAGAGAACCTCTCTTGATGAGGCTTCTTCTGATTTCCTAAACTGTGTTGCTGTCAGTAACTGTGGCTGAGCAGTTTCTTGTTGCTTCTTCACTTTTAAGAAACATAATCAATAGTTATTTGACAAGAATGTTTTTGTTCTTTATAGGAGCACATATCCAATATTAGGATATTCAGTGAAATGTTTTGTAAAATCCTACTGGTTCTCGTAGGTCCCTATATTATACTTTGTAGTTTCTAATAGCATCTAATAGATTTTTTTTTAAGAATACATCCAGAATGAAGTATTTCAATAGCTTCCATAAATGCTTTTATATTTTTATATCTCACTAAAGAACATCTTAAAAAGAGAAAACAGATAGATAGATAACAGATAGATAAGAACTTTTATAATAATATTCAATTGTATTTGCAATTTAGCTTCTTATTTGTGCAACTTGTCAGATGTCAAAGATGAGCAAGCTGCATTTACAAATGAAACTCTTGTATGTAACTTTTCTCGGGGGTCTGAAACACTGATGTACATTCCAGCTGTGTTTTGATGATGGGAATGGTGGCGACAGTCTTGCAGGGCTATGACTCTTCCATATTCTCATCTTCCATTTCTGATATCTTAGTGAATATCATGTTGAGTTTATACCTTGAAAAAATCTTTTTTTTCTATACTAGTAAATAGAAAATTACTCTGATTTACTGAGATGAACATAACTGTCTTGCTTCACTTGATGGAACATTGAGTCAGATGTTTGTTCCRCCTTTTGAGGGAGACTCTTCCCATACAAGCTGTAATCTCAGAAGGAGCTGAGAAGCTCTTCCTGAAATGAGGGCTTTGCTGCTGTGAAGCTCAGATGCTGTATCTGCTCCTTCTCTGATTTTGACTTATCTGAGAGCTTCTGTCACTCATAACTTGAATCAGTAGCATCTGTCTTATCTTGCATTTGTAAAAGCAAGAACCAGAAGCTATCACCTAAGGATAGGATGTGTCTGCTTACATATAGTAGGTCTCAATTCTGGGCTGCTTAGAACCCTGTTTCCATATTTTTTCTCCAATTTGAGCACAGAAGATAAACATAATTAGTACTCCATTAAGGAGGATACTCTCTTAGGGGGATAATTTGATAGGTGGCTTAAAATGTGTAATGTTTTCTGTAATAAAATAGATTTTCAAGCTGCTGTCCATATTGCTGATGCAGGTACTCATCTAAATTAGTGTCACAAAATTTAGATATGAAGGTTTTCATTCCTGTATTCAGATTAATTGCATTTTAAATAATATACATATATGAAAGTTAAACTTAGGAGTTTTAGAATTTCCTTTAGCRTTAATTAAAGTAGCAGCCCTATTTTAGGAGGCCTGATGACCCGTCTATATACTGTTTCCTCTTGTTCCAGCAGAAGGATTCCTCCACAGAGGAGTCGGAAAGCTCAGGTGATGAAGAGAAACAGGAAGTAACATCAAATTTCAAAGAAGAATTTAAGGTTACAAGAGACCTTTGTCAAACTACRCAGAAGCCATCTAGAAATGAAACTCCCAGTAAAAAGTAAGCATGTTAAGCATGTAAGGGGAAGATTTGTTTATAAATTAACGTCAGACATTTCCCCACAGACATATKTGTAGTTCTGCTTTATATAAATCTGAAAATAATGCCTTCAGCGAAATTTTGGATTCTGTCTTGAACTGCTTAACAATCCTCTGTTTTTCAGGGAATGTCCTACCTCGACAAGTACAGAAGAAGAAGCTATTCAGGGCATGCTTTCTATGGCAGGATTGCACTATACCACATGTTTACCAGGTCACACACAAAGCACAGACTGCACAGATAAAAGATTCTCTCTTCAGGAACACAGAAACTACCCCAGAAGTAAGCATAAAGACAGACAGCCATCGCAGAGCCACAAAACAGTAGAATGTGGTAGGTACCTGTATTAATTACCGTGCTGTTCTTTGTTGTTGGGCAAAGTATTCAGAATAAGTAATGAAAACTAGGGTTTTGGATTTGCAGTCAAGTTTTGAAGTGAATAAAAGCTTTTTTCTTTTTTTTTTTTAATTAGTCTTTTTGCCATAAAAATAACTTCTGAAAATTGGCATAATTTTAGCTTGAGAGGCATCAAGATCCAGTGCCTAAGTATCACYGTTTAAACACTTGGTGGCATCTTTGCAAGAGTTTCAACGTTATGGCTAAGTTAGAAGTGTATTCACCTTCAAGAAAAGATTCACAGACTTTGCACAGTTGCAGCTTTTACCAAGCTGTGCTTCTTGGAAGTGTGTTACATAGGAATCTACTYGGAGGCTCTTCATCTTTCATGTGTCTTTGAAAGGCACATTTATTTTCTAAAACTCCACTTTGAGTGCAGTCTAGTGAGTTGAAGCTTCCATTAGAAGAGCAGATTGGTAGGTCTCTAGGTAGGTGCAGTGGTGCYGTCACTGGGGCAGCTAACAGAGAGCCCTAGTCTTGAAGAGGAGAGTTCAAAGGGTTTTTGTTTGTTTGTTTTCTCCTCTTTGCCAGGACTTTTTGATGTCTGTAGAAAAGAGATTYTGTTCAATACATTTGGGAATGGCAGAGAATGACAAGAGAACRTTGCCACTCATTTCCTCAAAGGAATCAAAATCATTTAGGAATTTAGGAAGAGAGAGAAAAAGCATCACTGTGTGAAAATTCTTTTTATGAGAATTCTTTTTGTGAGAATAGAATGGAAGACAATTATGGCTTGGTTGATGTGGAATAAAATAGATCCCTGCCAGCAGACAGAGCATTCACAGTATTTCAAACAAACAATAGTATGTTGATTTCCTGTGCAAGTAGATAACAGGAAAGCCTAATGTGACTTCTGAGACTATGTTCAGCAAGCCAAAGCTATAGGTCTTTGGAAAACAAACCCCAAGACTAACAATAGAAAAAGAAAACACTCAGGTGCACAGCGCCTTTGAATTTCTATAACTTTCTGAAAAAAGTGATAATCATGCTGCTGTATGAAACTTCGTGGGTGAAAAAAATGAAGCTTGATACTTCATAGCTCAGAAGCATTTTGCAATACCTTTCAGTATTTTACAAATTTGAAATCAGTTGATKTCCTGGAAGACTTTTAAGTTTTACCAGTTAACTATATTGTAAATTTGTTTTCAGTGCAGATACTTTTATGATAAGCCTGTCAGAATAGAGTCTGGGTTGTTTACCTGAATAGCAGCACATCAGTATTTAGAAAGAAAACTGTCAATAGTAACTGTAAATTAAAGATTTACCTGAATTAAACATTTCCATGTTTACATGAACTCCTAATGATACAAAAATATGCTAGGAAACTGAAAAAGCTAAAAAAAATAAGGCAAGTAAGTTCTCCTCCATATTATTTCTTTCAGATTTGAATGGTCTTGTTCAGCTGACCTTTTTTGGATTTATCTCCAGATAGTTGTATTTATAAAGTGATTTTTTTTCTAGTGTAGTCTGTAAAATCAAATGGAGTTGAAGGAATATTTTTTTCCGTTGTATTTTTTTTTCTTAATTTTAAACTTATTCAAATATGTAATTAACTGATATATTAGTCATTGTTGATTTGAAAGTTAAGCTTGTTGAACCTCTTTTTAGGTAGGTCTGTGAGGGAAGAGGAAAGAGATCTGGGGACTTCAGCATGGGCTAGACAGCTGAGTGAAGCTTCCAGGATTACCCCTCAGGTAAAGCAATATATGAAACATTTTAAATACATTCTTTTTATAGAAAAAAGTTCATGAAGTTGTTGTTCCTTCATTATTATTCTCAAGCACGGCATCAGTAGGAGCAGAACTAAAGATACTTGCTAGGAAACTTACACTGCCAAATTGCATAGCTTTTCAACAGCCTAACAGTGGAAATATTTTTCCTTTCTGAAGCATAGGTGGAACCCAGCAAAGAGAATATAAAGGCTATGTATCTTACTTTATAAGCTTTCTGATATTTTTTGATAGGTGTCTCTGAAGTTGTGAGTGGTATAAGTTTTAGTTTCAAGTTGCAAAATATGAGTGCTATTCAGCTGTATTTTAATTGCATACTTTTAATAGATTTTTCTCTGGGAACACTGAGCTGCATGATACTTTTTACAGTCTGTAATTCTCAACTTAGAATCTGTTGTCAGCTGAATATTGAAAACAAATTGCCTGTTTAAGTAGTCARTGATTATGATATAGCTGTTACAGTAGCCGGTAAATCAACAGCAGTTGCATTTGTTTTGATCATTGCAAATGATCAAATGCATACTAATTACTCAATTTCTATACTTTCTGATTTTAGTGTATTTTATTATCCTTAAGTACTTATGGAGTATGGGAAAGAAATAGAGTTATTGTGCTTTTTTTTTTTTAATATAGTAGTATAATTAGAAAAACTAAAGTGAACTTTGATACAGAAGCAATTATCTTACACTTTTTTTTTTTTTCCTTCCCCTCATTTTAATCCAGGATGCAAGTAAAACATACAAACATGTGAAGAGAGAGGGTGCCTCAGAAGCCGGTCACAAGGTTCAGGAAAACAGGAATATCRCCCACAACAACGGCTTGAGTTTCCAGCACGGCAAGTACACCCGAGACTCCAGCCTAATTCAAGGAGAATGCCGGCTGAGTGACARCAGTCTTAGTCCTGACAGGCCCTATGGGGAAACATCCTTGTCTGTACCGCTTCATCCCACCAAGAGGCCAGCATCAAATCCACCCCCTATCAGCAACCAGGCGACAAAAGGTAACGGTGCCACGAGAGGGCGGAGGGAAGACCAAGCACAGGAGCCTGTAAACATCAGAAATAGCTCTTAAATGCAGAAATTGCAAGGAGGACAGACTTGGAACTTGAGGAAAATGCAAAATGGGCTTCCTGAAGGCATTTAAATTCGGTATGGATTGTGTATGGGGCGGAATGGAAGAGCTGAGTGCAAGCTCAGTAGAAACCTTCGTGGTTACTATTGTAATTCTGCATATATATCTGCTATGCATTATAAAAGGGATTAAAAGAGAACCACAACTATATTTTAAAACACTGATGTAGAACAGATTTGTTTCTCTGAAGTTCAGATTTAAAAACCATGACACTTCAAAACTGTTCTGAAAACTATGCTTGGTTTTATACTCATATAACTTACAGAATAATTTGCTAGAGTAAAATCCACAGAGCTTAATTCAGGTTCTTTCTTACTACACTTCCTGGTCTTCCTCATATTAGAAATGGTTGGAAAAAATACCTTTGTGTATGATAATGCTGACCAGATTTTTTGGGGAAAAAAAATGGCTGCATTTCTTAGAATTCCAATTTACCGATTGTTTGCTCTTAAACTGATAACTGAAGAACATTTTCTGCAAGTGGTARAGGTGAAAATTTTGTCTGCTTCAGCTTGACCAGGCTAGGCCTCATCTTTGTCTCTGTCGTGACAAAATTCTGTTCTGAGCTACTTGATTTCATTCCTTTTTTTTTTCAGGCAAACGTCCAAAGAAAGGAATGGCAACCGCTAAACAGCGCCTTGGGAAGATCCTGAAGCTGAACCGGAACGGCCACGCACGCTTCTTTGTTTAATGTAGCTGCTACTTCTACTACTGCTCTCTTTCCTACACAGACCAGTATTGAGGTCAACAGAGCCTGGAGCTGCTGTTAATCCTCTGCTTGAAGCAGACTTGCATGTACCATATAAAACACTGCCTGATGAACAAAAAAAAAAAAAAAAAAAAATTTACCCAATGCTGCATTTTCACTGTGCCACACCTGCTCAGCAATAACCATATGGGAACGGGGAAATCTTCGGAGAGACGTGGACTGAGAAAGAGTCTCTCATCAGGGCTTGAATATCATTTGTTGCTGGTAGTGTCTGACCTAATTCATAAGGGCAAGATGATGAAGGTGGTTTATCAATAATTTATTTCTGATAGATTTTTGACAACTTTTAAATTCATTTAAAAAAAAGCTATTTATTTGGAAGACTTTTTGTGGGGGGTTATTAATTTAGATTTAAGAATGTGAAAGTTTTTAATTGTTTTGATAATGTATGTTTGGTGCAGTGGAGAGCCACATTAATGGTGATTAGTCTGGACTCCTAAATTTGATATTCAGGTTATAGTCTTAACTAGGGGTGAGATGCATTATTAATTATTTTTAAATTAAGGCATATGGAATCTTATTTTTTCCTGCTCTTTATAAGCTATTGGCTAGGCTTTTGTTGACTTGTAAGGTGCATATTCTCTGCCAGCTTGATTATTTTTGACCTCTTCTCTTTTATACAGATTTATTTATTTGATGGACTAGATGAGACTCTCCTAAAGACAGCAGAACCTTCTTATGGCAGTCCAGTAGCTAACTTCTTTTAAACTGCACCCCTTTCCTTCAAATTGGAGTTTATGCTTTTACTCCTGGTGTGACGTTTGATCTAGCTGTGATGGTTTTCTCCTGTAAAAAAGGCTTCCTGAATTGTATTTATGCAGATTATTTAAATGTTGGTACAAAGGAGGGAATCTTCATATGTGGAGGGAATGGGGAGATGAGTTAAGATGCATATTTCTTCAGAATAATTATTCTGAAATAACATCTTAAGATAGACATTATAGTCTTAAGATTGGACGTATTGTTTAATGTAGCATGGAAGGAGCATTAAAATGTTACTGATGTACTTTAAATCCATTTTAGCGAGGAGTCAGGAAGGCAGGAGAATGCGTGTTGTCTTCAAAGGTGGACGAGACCTGACAGCCAGTTAAAAGTCTTAAATGGTGCATATATGAGCATTAAGTAGCTTACTGGTATCAGAATGATCATTTCTGTCAAGCTTCACACAGAGCTGATAGCAAATGCCAATTCTGAATTATTGTAAATAATTGATTTTAAAAATGTATTTTTCTGTAATATAAAATTAAATATTTAAATTTGGGGGAACGGGAATGAAGTTGGAAAGAGGAATACTTTTACTTGATTCTGGAAAAAATGGGCATTTTGCAGGGTCCAGCCAAAATGAAAACATTTAATATGCTAGTGATAAGTTTTGATTTTTTTTAATTATTATTATTATTAATTTTTAAATGCTTGTGAGAGTAAAAATACTCAGGCTTAGCTATCGTTTCATTGAATTGTATTGAATTTACATAGCGGTCTTTCCTTCCTCCATATTCTATMCTGGTGGTGTCCCTTTTTGTTTAAAAACAATTTCAGTTTGGCATTCCACAATATTTATGCAGAGTTATATTTAACTAGACTAGATAATGAATGCCTTTAGAAATGGAAGAAGTTCTAATGTCAGGTGTTTTTCATTATTGCAGGGACAAAACTCTTTAGCACTATGCTTTTTTGTTTCTAAATTGAGAAATATCAAAATACAAGGTAAYTGCAAATAAATCGGGTAACTTTTATGGCTTGTGTTTCTGCAGAGCTTGAAAATGGTATCTTAGGAATATTCTTTGTAGCCCTGCTTTTACACTGTGTTGACTTGACTTTACAGGTGTGTGTGGGGGGTTTTCTTTCTTTTTTTTTTTCTTTTTCTTTTTCTGTTTTCTGTTTTCTAATTATGATTTCACAGAACTAGGGCCTYCCCCTTCCCTGATTAGCAGTGGAGGTGAGATTACTAAATAGCAGAAGATCAACTGAAAGCTTAAGTTGCTGAAAGTGAACATAACTACTTGTTTTTTCTCAGGTGTTAGATTTTTTTCAGTTGAAAGTAGGTGAGAGAAATACTTAGACTGTCTTCTCATATATGTCAATTTAATGTAAAATGCCCTTATAAATGTTTTCTTTGTTTAAGCCTGAGCAAGTCCATTTGTGCCTGCCAAGCTTTAAAAACTCTTTTAGCTTTAGCATATAGAACCAAACTACTTTCTTGTTGACTGATTTTTAAATGCAGAAAATTCCTGGTAGAGGCAGCAAGCAAAATCACAGGAAGATGTAGAACGAACTCTCCTTAAAGGCAGATTTTCGATGACACTAATCTGAAGTAGGAGTATATGCCAGAATAGAATTTGGAGTAAGGAATTTTGAAATATGAATTATGCCATCTTGCTGTCTACGTGCCATATAAGAGGTCTTTTTTTCTGATGATCTTCGTTATTTATCTGTATCTTACTGTTGGAACACAGACTTGGCTGGACCCATGTATATTATTTTGTCTTGTTTTCATTCTTTCTCTATTCTTCTTTCTCCCTTTGATATCAAAGTGGCTCTCCACTGTTGTGAGTTTACATAATAGTCTCTTCATAGGCTGTCAAGAGGCAGAAGTCCATTACAATTTTCTTCAGATATCCATGCTTCCTCTGGAAGTCTACTTTTAAAATTTCATGGTGTCACCTCAAAAAAAGAGAAAAAAAAAAGAAAAAAGTTTATTTAAGAGAATTTGCCATGATATATTAGTTTTTTAAAAAAAGAAAGAAAATAGAGTGAAAAAAAAAAAGTCTCCTGGTAGCTCATGAAGAGGATGTGGTGACCTCACTTGTTTTGTGTATCTGTATGTAGGAATATTTTTGTTGTGTTCTAGATGAAAATACTACTGCACCGATCTTTTGTAGACGAACTGAACGTTGTGTTGTAGTAGTGGAGAGAGAAAGCTCTATTTTTTGTTTCTTGATGTCACACACTAGGGATGGAGAAGGGCTATGAGGGAGGGAGTGGGGAATACTGAATGGACAACCCAGAGAATGAAGCCTGCTATGGTAACTCATTTTCAAGGAGAATATTTTCAAAAAAAAAAAAAAAAAGTCTAAGAACTTGGATTTGATACAAACCTTAACTCTSTTTTTTGTTGACAGACAGAACAGGAGGAAAGGAAGTAGTTAAAAGTTCTCAAGTACCTGCAGTTAAAAACACAAACCAACCAACCAAMCAAAAAAACTCACATGCAAATGAAAAGACCACCTAGAAACTATATCAAAGATTCTTCCAGCAACTTTCCCTTTTTTCCCTCCTACTATACTTGCTAATAAACCCTGGCTACAGGGTAGCCTTTAATGACCTCTGAGGTAGATTACCTATGCAACCTATACTACTCTACATGAATCCATTCTTCAAAACAATTTTGAGAGGGTTAGATGTTGAGTTACAGTTCTTAATTTCTGATCACATATAAGTTTTTCTTTTTTTGGGGGGGAAGGGTAGTTGAAATTCTTGTGTTACCCTTAATAGAGATAAGAGAGCACAGTGTCATGATCACCTTTTAGAGAGCTTCAGCTTTCCCTAGGCTTTGCTGTGTGGCATAAGCTGTTCCTCACTCACGAGGCCATGAAGCTGCAGATGTTGAAGCTTTTTGCATAATGTCAGAGTCCGCACTGAAATGCGTCTTGCTGACCCCAGTTTGGCAGTTGTGGAGACTAAGCAGAGCTGAAGCTAAAATGACCTGCTACCCTTAACTAGTGCCCTCTTTAGGCTCCACCTGCCCATGTCTCCCTTTATCCCCTTCTCCCCCCCCCAGCCCAAATCCAGTGTCTTTTCAGAGTTCGTTCACATAATACTTCCAGACCATTAAATGCTGTTGGTGGCTCCTGGGATTGAGTTGAGCCCAGAGCTGCTCCATTTCACAGAAGAAATATAAATGGAACCAAGGGCCTTACTGTTTGTGGTTAAAAAAGATTAAAAGCTGCAACATCCGTTTTTCCAGAAAAAAAAAATCAAGAAAAAGTAAAAAAATAAACCCAAATAACCAATTTTTTTGAGAGCAAATGAGTGATAAATCTTGCAGTAGGTGGGAAATATAAGTAGCACTGATAAGGAAATGCGTGTTCTTCACATACTGCATTTCTTTTTGGAAAAAGACTTTTTTCTACTTTAATATAATTTAAGCCATAAGAGTTTCATGTGGGAAGGGAATGAAAGGGATCACTTTTAAGAGATTATATTGATATGTATTGTCACTTCTGCTGGGAAATGTCTATTATTGCCAATTCCTTGGCCTATCTTTCTTTAAAAAAAAAAAAGAAAAAAAAAAAAAGAAAAAAGGCGATAGCTCTTGGCTATATTTACTAGTTTTGTAGTAATGTTTTGCTGGCCTGTTTGTCTTTTCCTCTCCTTTTTCTACTCTCATAGTCTAATTTCTATCTTTCTTTCTAATGTCTCGGATAATACTAGCTTGTCTGCAAAGTAGGGATCGGTGTTTGTGTGTCTTCCTTTTTAAAGAAACGCACTACTGTGTTAAGTATTTGGCTGGGAAATGGGATGCTGCAGCTTTAAGAGCATTTTTTTCAATTCATAACAGTATTTCCCATCCTCTTTTGCCTGCAGGCAGGGAAAGTGTATGTACAGTATTTATTTTGTTTCAATTTTACTTCAAATTTGTAAGTTTCTATAAGTAGTTCACATTGATTATTCTAGGGGAGGACAAGTGGCTTTGTTTAAATTTGTATTTGATATTCATAGATTCCACTTTCTGTACTTTAAATACTGAAATTAAAAAATTGTATTGCTTATGTTTTGATTTTAGCACTCTAAAGTGTTTAATTTCTTCAGACTTTTCATTTGCTTCAGTGTAAATACAGAAGGTTGTATAGAATGTCTTGGGGAGAAAAATGATTTTCTAGTTCTGATTTCTGTGCCCGTGATTCATAGCTTTTTGAAGACTRCTCTTGCGGGAGAAATGTGAGAAGGAATGTTCTCATTTTTATTTTCAGAGTGCAAATTTCATTTCAATCTAAGTATATTATATGGCAACTAAATGCGTTTTCTGAAGATGTGTGTATTCCTTTTGAATCCTAATATATAAGGGGAGATGGGATGTTCTATGGTTTGTCATATTAGAGATCTAGAGAAATAGGTGAAATTGTAAGCAGGGTGTCAAAAGAAATGTTATTTTCATGTTCTTCTTGCTTGTTCTTAATTTTTTGTTCAGATTTGCCTCTTGCTTCTGATGACTGACTCATTTCTCAATTCTTTTTTCCTTAAATAGGGGGCTATTCCAGGTAGAGGAGACTTCTCTTGCACCCTTTTGCTCATTTTTGTCTTGCTTGTTTTTATCTTGGGTGGTTTCCCTGCTGATTTCTCCATCAGCATTTCAGTATCAGCTTTACAATCTTCATTGCTTGGAGTTTTCACTCCATATGGCAGTTCCTGCCTGGGTGCTGTGCTCGGGGGTAGTGGAGGCGTTGCTGTGTTGCACTCAGACTTAGTGTAACGCATTTTCTTCTCTGGCAAAGCTTGTGCTGTGGCACTGAGCTTCAGTGCTCCATATGGGCCGGTGTGTAGGTCCCGTGATGGCCATTTTATGAGAGCCTTGGATAAATGATGCAGCAATGGGACTGGAGAAATCAGACTGCAAAAGATGTTTGATCTGAGCATCCTAAGCAGCTACTCAAGTTTTCTTCTTGGGCTGCTTGAGTTTGCAAAGAACTTTCTGTCAACTCTAATGTTCAGGAGATCTGCTCACAGCCAAGGTCTCCCTTGTGCTCAGTGTTAACAGACAAAGTACAAGAAAGCTGTCCCTGTCAAACTGTATGCTGCTCAAGGATATGATTGCAATAGCTCTTAAAAGTAACAACAAGCTAATGAGTTTGGTGTCCTAAAGTGTACAGCACAGTAGTCTTCTAAATTTGGGAGTAGAAACTYAAGTACTTTTTCAAAACAAATTTAGGTGGGGCAGAGTGAAAAATCATGAGGAAAAAATCRTTATTCAAGCATAGAGAACAAAGATTAAATACTTAAGTGAACATAAATGAGCTCCTGGATGTGCCTTTTACAATTTCTGAATTCATGTGTTAATACCTGTTTTGAACTTAAGATTAGCCAAAGATGTGCCAAAGATGTGAAGGAGCTTTTAGTCTATCAGCACAATCACATATTACAAAAAAGCATTATCACTGTAATGGGTCAATAACAAGGCTGTGACCTGGGCATTTTCATCAGATAGATTGACTTGATCTCAGCGGAATTCAAATAAAAGCCTGTATAAAAACCTATTTAACCATATTTATTGTATGTCCTTTAGCCTTTACCAGTTACACTCCAGAGCCTTTCCCTGTGACCACTGTTTAGTAGGGTAGTACTCTGGAAAATCTCTGAAAGATCCAAAAGTGCTGCTCTAAATGATATTGGATAGCTTTCAGCACCACCATCACTATTTCAGTATTTGCTTTAATGCTGAGTGTTATTGTTTTCTGCTTTTCTGTTTGGGGTGGATGGTAAAATACCCGGATTGTTCTTTCCCAGTGGGCAGATGGATTTTAAGGATTTCAAGGCTACCAAATATGGCAAAATAGCTGAATTTCTGTAGTCAGGGAATGGCCAAGATATCCATTGCCACGTATCAGAAGATTAAGGTGTTGAGGTTTTTTTTCTGCTGCTTTTTGAATTTTTTTTATCAGCAGCTTTCACTGCCTTTGAGGTTGACTCTCCAGCAGAGTGCGTGCAGCCTTGGCTTTGTGCACATCTAGTGAAAGTCAACTCTGGAGGTTTGGCCATCTCCTGTTCAAGTTGTGAAGCTCATGTGCTGGCTAATTAGTTTACACATTCAGTCTTTTTTGCTTTTTTGTTTGGATTGCTTGTGGAAATCTGGCTGATAGGATGAATATAGGGAGGCAAATCTGGCTCGGTATTGGTTTCTTTGGAAATTTTTTGTTTCTCTATGTAGAAGTGTTTCTCCTGGGAGCCCTTGAATGTACACTTTTACCACTGGTAAGTTCAAGCAAGGACTGGAGCAGAAGARCTGGGATGATACGATTGCTCTATTTGATATGATCAGCTGTTTAAACACATTTGTTTTTACAGCAGTCAACAACTGAAACGTTCACCTGCAGTAGAACTGGCTAGTAAGACGGYGAATAAAATCTTTCATTGCCAGAGCTCAGAAAGTAAACTGACCTATAAATCTGCTGATTCAAGGTGGAATATTGTCTAAACTAAGCCACTTTAAATTAGTCTTTAGAAGTAGTACTGCAAATTTAAACTGTGTCTGGCTTAATAGATCTATTTGTCTGTACTATACCTACTGTATTTACTTTGGTCTTGGAAAAAAAAATACTATTCTTTGGAACATACAAGTCAACTAAACTACCATATACAAAGAGTCTGCTTGTTTGTGATGCTTTGCCTGGAAGTTTACTCTAGGAAGTTTTATTGCTGCAATGAATGCACCTGAAGAGAGAACATAGGTTTATCTGTGAGAAACGTTTGCTGTACACTCTGATAAGTCAGGGAAATGCAGGTCAGCTTTTTGTTTTGGTAGAACCAAAATCCTACAACATTTTCACACCTTTGTTCTAGTATCCTGAGGTAAGATC